TGCTGAATCAGAATAGATTGTTCATTAGACCTAAAATTTTGCTTTTTAAATTCAAGTTAAGAAATAAATAGGTTTCCCATCTATTTCAATTTTAGGAACACATAATCAGCTTGCCAATGTCATAGGTTTCTGAGAGTCAGACTATCTGATTTCTGCTTAGAAAACTCTGATGCCCATTCTGGTAACCATATCCACTTTATCTTTGGTAAGTGCTGCCACATAACCCTGAACCCCCAGAATCCAATTACTCCCCTGCATTTAAGGATCTAATTCAGTGTCCGCGTTTCTCACTGTAACAGCTAACCTACAGAGGTGACTACAGGACTCTTCAGCAGTATTGGGTTCCTACAGCCAATTCCTGTCTTACAGTCATGGTAAAAGGTGTGGGCAAACAGGTTTCATGTGATAAATCCACTCTGACAAGCCAATCTCCCTAAACCTTTGAATCCCTTCCTCTACATTCCACTGCATTTCCAGCTCTACTAACATGGGCCATCTTTTGGTCCACGTTTTTGCCAATCTGCCAAACAAACTGGTAGAGCCCTGCTAACCTCACAAGATAAATCATTATATCCAGAATTTGTGTTATAGGGCCATGTCAGTAAATTCGGCCTACCCCAACTTTACGTGACTCCAGCATTATCCCATATTCTTTTTCTAATGTTTATTTTTGAGACAGAAAGAGTGCGAGCAGGGAGGGGCAGAGAGAGAGGGAGAGAGAGAATCCCAAGCAGGTTATGTGTTTGTCAGCACAGAGCCCGATGCAGGACTCGAACTCACAAATTGTGAGATCATGGCCTGAGCCAAAATCAAAAGCCAGATGATTAACTGCCTGAGCCACCTAGGTGCCCCCCGCCCCCCAGTCTCCATACTTAATATCTGTCTCCACACATATTCCTCAGAAATCTGTCTGTATAAATTGCAAAAAAAAAAAAGTATATTCAGTTCTTTTCAGCATAGTTTACCTCCTCATCAGTCACATTTTGCTTAGGAGTATCCAGTGCTGATATTTTATATATTTCTATAGCTATATTAGTGTTGTCTTTTATACTGGAAATAGGGTCACTGGTGCCTTTAAATCTAATCAGATAAGAGAACCAATTTTGGAAACCCTAGAACCTATTCAGACAACTCCTCCTTAAAAGTTCTAATTCTCTAAAATTCCTTTAAAATCCAGAACCTGTGATTAGTTAGGATTCTCCAGAAAAACAGAATCCCCTATGTATGTATTTACACAAATATAAATATGTATGCATGTGGGGATACACACACACACACATATGAGAGATGTGTGTCTCATATATATATATATATGAGAGATGTTAAGGAATTGGCAACATGATTTGGTGGCTGGCAAGGCTGAAACCTTTGCATCAGCCTGGCAGGCTGGAACTGTCAGGCAGAAGATGATAGTGCCATCTTTGGGCTAATTTCCTTCATCAGAGAATCCTCAGCTTTTACTTTTAAGGTCCTCTGACTGATTGGAAAAGGCTGATGCATATTATTAAGAATAATTACCAATAATTAAAGTAAGTTGATTATGGTTCATGGCATAACCTCGATCAGATTTTGATTGAATAACTAAGGACTATACCACAGCCAATTTGACATATAAAGTTAACTCTTACAAATACAAAGCCTTTTTTTTTTTTTTTTAAATTCCTGAGGCTGCAAGTTGGCTGTCAGTAAGTCTATTTAGGCAGAATGTGAGGGTGTCTCTGCTTCACCCTATCTTCTGTGGGCCATTTAGGAAAGTTTTCCTATATGTATGTCATTCTGGGGCCAGGCCAAGTGGAATGCCGCTTCTTGAGAAAGCTCTTCTCATGCAAGAAGTGCAAGAGAGCAGGTGGGAACATGTGAGGCCATTAAAAATCCAATAAATAGTCAGTTCACTATTGGCAGGAGCAAGTCACATGGTCAAATCCAAAGTCAATGTATTGAAAAGCCACACACTCCATGATAAATGTATGGCATGGAAGTGGATGCCAGGAAAGAGTGAATCCGGGTCAATCAGTCAATCTCCCACAAGCATTTGCATATTGTAGCTTATAGTTATTTATAGCCTTGATATCTTATATTGCATCTGTACAGAACTAACATTTATCAGTATAACTTTCACCCAAATGATGGTGTTCACCTCAAAGATATTCTTTTGCTGTGGTGTTTTATTTTTCAAGCTTATTTTTATTTGTTACTAACTCAGATACTTTATTACTGATATATTTGTTGTTTTATAAAGGCTCTCCCTCCCAACTAAATATAATTTATTTCTGACATCATATGCTGGTTTTATATAAATGGGAATAGGTTAAAGGGATCAGATAGAATTATACACTTGCTTTCACTGGGAGGAACAGGTGGAGGTTTGGTCTAAAATTTTGCCTGGATAAATATTACTGTGGTGCATCCTTACAACATGGGTTATCATATGCAAGTATACTTCCTTGCTGTCAGCTAACAGGGCATCAGTAAGTGGTTGACTAAATAAATAAATGGGGGAGGAAGAGGCATTCTTTTATCCAGAGTAATTTCATATAATTCATGTAGACATTTCACTCTCAAGAAAGGAAAACATACCTCTCCACTCCTTAAGTATAAGCTGTTCATAGTGACTTCCAGCCAAAGAGTAAAGTGTGGAGAGAGGGGGGATAAAAGAGTAACTTATCAGTGAGGACACCTGACAAACACTATTCCAGCCCAGAGGTCAAGGTCAGCCTCCCCAGTGAGAAGTCCTGTTGACAGTGTGAACCTCTCATACAGTGTGGTGAAATGGCACTTATCTCCGTGGCATCCTCCCCAGATCCCTTAGCTCTAGTATAATCATGAGAAAAACATCAGAATAATCCCAATGGAAGTACACTCCACAAATTACTGACTAGTACTCCTCAAATCTTCCAAAGTTATTTTTAAAAAACAAGGTCTGAGAAATAGTCCAGCCAAGAGGAGCCCGAGACATGATAAATAAAGATAATGTGGTATCCTACAGGGGATCCTGGCACAGAAAAAGAACATGAGAACAACAACAACAACAAACAAAACAAAATCAAAAGATAAAAAAAATCCAGGAAAATTGGAATAAAGTATGGACATAATAAGAATAAAATAGTATTGATCGTCAGCTTTAACAAATGTGTATACTAATGTAAGATGTTCATAATAGGGATAAAAGAATATGGGGTATATGGAACTCACCTAGCTGTTTGCACAATATTTATGTAAATCTCAAGCTGTTCTGACATAAAAGTTTATACCCCCCAAAAAAAGCTCAAAATATTTGAAGCAAAAGAACTGATTTTACTCCAATTTTTAAATTTATGATCACTGAAAATAGTTCTATTATAGCTATTAAATTTACTGTTACCTAGTGATTAAGTTATTAAATCTCATAATTTTTCTCTGAAGAAACATCTGATATCACTACCTAATATTTTGATGAAAGATAATGGAAGGCTCAGTAAAAAGAAGGAAAATGTTAAAAATAGTAGCGATGTAGGCACAATGTGCCATATTATTAATAATGACAACCTAAAACTGTGAACTAAAATATTCAGCATATGAAACTAACTATGAAATTACATTTAGACAGATGGCTAAATATTCTATTTCTCTAGTAGCTTTTTAGTAGCAGAAAATTGGTCTTGGAGATACTATGTTTTCATATAATCAATTAATACTGAAATTCTACTTCTCTGGTAAAGGAATAACTTTATGTCACTGTTGGAGATAAAAAGGTATTTATAGTTTCTTCAAACACAGTTTTTAAGAGCAATTTTGAAAAATAATCGTTAAGACTAACAACCAATTTGTCATGGAGATCGAAAAATTAAGTAACTTATATCATAAAATTGTAATTTTTATTCTCAAGTTGCCTTTCATTTGCTAATGATTTGTTGTTACCTGGCCTTATTATAATCAGCCTACTGATGCATTCCAATAAAGTGGAACCAGCCCACAACCCACAAAACTCACTGAGGGAAAATACTCAATATATTATGCTGCATATTCAGTTAACTATTGAAAATGGTCAACCTCTTTTCTTTCAGAGGCAGTAATAATCATCCAGTGACAGCATAAGTGAACTTCTTGCTCTATTTCACCCACATTTACTTGATCAAGTGTTTATCATCTAATACAACAGAAAATGACAAAGACGGAAAAAATAAGTTAATGTTTTAAGGAATGAGAGGAGGAGTAATTTTGAGGAGCCTAGTCTTCTAATGTGTAATTCACCATACACTTTACTTTGAAGTCTCATTTGCCTGAGCTATATTGTATATTGTATTGTATTTGGCACTCAATTTTTTTGTAGTGTCAGGGTATCAATTTGGATTTAAAACCATAACTAAAATAAAATCCTCTAATAGCATATAAAAAGAAACCCATGTGTGTGCACTTAAGTCTGTGCTCACCGTTTAGGTATTATGATAACCACAAAATGAAACTGTACTATGTATTTCATACATCGATTTATCTTAATATTATTCACTCTGATAAATAGCTTGTTTCCTTACATCATACTGTTTGTGAATAAAATTTTAAGTTCCAGAGAGAATTATTCATGCATGTAGCTTTTTAATTAAAAAGAGAAAGATTAGTCAACCTTTTTTCAAGAGATAACCAAATGAAAGGCAACTTTTAATTACTCCTTTGAAGTTTCTTTCCCAGTTGCAAACTCAGGTTTCAAAACGAATGCTGGGAATGAGCAAACATTCGAGAGAGGAGGCTGATCCTATCGTAGATCCTGTCTGAATGCTTAGTGGAGTGGGTAATACTGAACCATCACAGTGGTTTATGCTTCACAGAGCTAGGGGTTAAGACTTTTTTTTCCCTCTTGCTTCCTCTGTTTTCACTGTACCCCGGGAATTCATGTCCCTTTCAGGTGGCCATAAACACAGTCGACCCATAGGAGCTGCTCCATAATTGCTTACGCTTTATTAGCAGTCTCCACTCTTAAGCTCCATGCTGTGCTCGATGGCTTACCATTTTCCTGTCTTTTCAGACGACATCCTTTGCGGTGCCGTGGCACATGGATTTCAGGACTGCCTGTGAAGAGGTATGTTATGTGGCTTTCTGCTTTCTGAGTTAGAAAAACAGGTTATAAAGGGGATGGGCTTGGGGCTCCTTTGTGGTAGTGGAACACTGCTTTTAGGGGAGGGATGGGTGACAGGTTCATTTCATTTCCAGTGTGTGATCTCTTTCTGCAAGACTAAGAAACCAAAGAGTGCCTCGGGAAGACTCGGGTTTTCACTCTTCCTTAAAAAAAGACTGGAGCATATTTGATTTAACTGTCCTTCTCCATAAACTATGTTCTCACTGCATGATTTTAGGTAGTAGGAGTGTTGAAGTCATTCTTTTCACATAAATGGTTATAAATTAGAAGACATCTGATGTCCCTTTCAGCACTAAAATCCTATGATTTTATGATCCCAATATTATTTAAGTATTTCAATATTATTTAAGTGTTGATACATAACAATTCAGATTCTCTGTAGAGAAGCTGTCCTCACAGTTGGGTATGAGTTAAAGTGATACGTTGCTCTTTCGAGGCCATTCAGGTGTGTAGTCAACAGTGCATGGAGTTAGGCCCCAGGGGATGTAACCATTCTATTTTAGGAAAAAACACTATGAGATGTCACTTATTAAGTTTCTTGCAAAAATATCTTCTTTGTAAAAGTATTTGTCACAGTTGGTTCAAAGTTTAGAACATAAGTAAGAACCTTCAGAAAATTGATAAATTTCTTTTATATGTTTAATATTTAAGCTTTCTATTTTCCAAAGGATTTTGTTTGTGCTAGCACATTTAGAATTACATTATAGTTATTTATGTACAAATCTCTCTTACACGCTACACTAAAAACTGTAAGGTGAGAGTATATAATTTACTCATCCTTTTAACCCAGTATCTATCAGTTAATGCTTTTAAAAAAATAATGAATGAGTTAGAAACTTACATTTAGAAACATAAACTTAAATCTGTGCCATTTCTGGTGTTAAATACAGAATCCTACTCTTAATTTTGGATATAGTAAGTCTACTCTTTCCATCACAGTGTTTGTTCTTATGTTTTGGGTAGTAGAGCACTTATTGAAATATTTGTGTGAATGAGATAAAAATGAAAAACATGTGATTCATGTGATAGACACAGGAAAGTGGCCAAGTACCATTTTAACACATGGTTTACTTTGGATTTCAGAGGCTGAGCTAAGATGGACTTCTCCAACCTTTTTTCTTAAACAAAATTGTTGGATTCATTGGTTTGGAATATATATCAGGTTCCATTTAAGGTTCAGAGATTTATTTTACAATGATAATACCATTGCGACCATCTTACTCTTGCTTCTGTAGACAGGTACTTGTTACCTTATGATGAACCCTTTGACATCTCTACCATGTTAGACTCTTCACAGCGGGGAGTAAAACTGTCCTGGTACTGCTCTGCAACAGTGGCCATGTGTCTTCCACACACTGGCTGGGTTCGCTGGAATACAGAACTGTGAGATTCTCTAAAGATGATCAAATCCCCTTGCAGAGGAAAGAAGGGCACTAAGTTTGCCTGAAATTTACAGTCTTGCAACATGTAAATGGACAGGAATCATAAAGATAATTTCATTTAACTCTCTCACTTTGTAGGTGAGGAAATTGAGAGGTTTTATGAAATTCTGACTGCCATTTAATTAATTAGCTAAAAGCAAAACTATACTGTAGAGCTTGGAATTCCTGAGTCTAAGTTTGAGCCTTTCTCTAAATTATGTTGTTGGAAATTATAACATAGTCAAAGGCATATTAAATAAAACTTGTTTTCTCTTGACTGTTAATAAGCTAGTAAAGTTGGAAATCGGATACTCTCGTCCATCAGATAGATCTAGGTAGATTATCACCATGCACATACCAGGAAGTCTCTTCTTAGAAAAGAAATAGAAGTATGTCCAAGTAAGTTCCATTTAAGATATCTTAATTTTCTAACACAGATCCTTTGTAAAAGAAAGTTGATTTACTAAGAAGCTTCTCCTCTTAAAAAGAAATTGTTGCAATACTTTTAAGGAATTGGGATTTAGAAGTCTATAAAATGTAAAAGTGAAGATAGAGAATACAATTGGGACAAGTACAAAATCCACAATTTAAAGGAAAAGTCACATGTTATGGGCAGGCATAATTACTGATTTTCTACTTTTAAAAGTGCCATCAAAATAATGATGTGTTCAGGAAGCCAATATGCTGTCTTTAGTCTAAGTATTCCTCATATTTCATTTTCACATCGATATTCTTTAAAATACAATCCACATCTCTGCTGACAATGAAAATACATATTTTTATGTAATGTATATTTATTAATTCAATAATTTACTTACATATATAATTTAATTTAGTCCCTCACAGAATAGAATTCTGATTCAATCAGCATGTACTGAAAGAAATCCTACTATTGATTTAATACTATACTAGGTCTACATATTAATAATCCTTAATTATAAAAATAGTAATAACTTATTAAGATCTTCTCATGATAACAAAATATATGATGAATACTGTGATATAGAATGAAATGTTATTGAATTCTACATGATGATAGAATTCTGGTTAATTGTTAGGCAAATATATTTATTCAACGAAAACCCTGAGTTCAGAAAAGAAAACACTTGTCTTTGGATGGGTAGTCTTAGAAAGCCTCAAGGCAAAGTGAGTCTTGTACTAGTGCTTGACAAATGGTAGAATTTAGCCACAGAGAAGGCCATGATTGTAAGTGATCCTAGAAAGCAGGACAAATGCAGTTGGAGGCATATTGCATCCAATGGCATTTCCTGCCATGTTGCTATGATATGGTAGAGTATAAGCAACTACACATCACTTAAAGCTGTAAGTTCACAAAACAAATTAAGTTATATTTGACAACCAAAATATTGCAAATTTTTTATTTCTATTTTTTAAATGTTTATTTATTTATTTGTTTATGGAGAGACAGACAGAGAGAGAGAGAGAGAGAGAGAGAGAGGAGAGAAAGAGGGATTGAGAATCCCAAGCAGGCTCTACAGTGTCAGCACAGAGCTCAGTGCAGGGCTCAATCTCAAGAACTGGGAGGTCGTGACCTGAGTCGAAATCAAGAGTTGGCTACTTAACTGACTGAGCCACCCAGGAGCCCCACAAATTTTATGTTTCCAGATTAAAGGAACATACATTTTAAAATTTCATGAAAATGTATGTTGTGTTCTTTCAATGTCTAGAGCCTAAATTAAAGAGGCCTTAACTTTTAAGTGTCAAAGTAATTATAGTCCATTTTTTAAAGTTCCAAGGTAGTAGGTTTAAGCCAAACAAAAATTCTTCATAAGTTTAAATGTGAAGTATTTTTGCTTAAAACAGAGTAAATCCATGTAAATTCATAAACACATTTCATTGATTTACAGAAAGGAAATCAATGTCTAGATTTTTAAAAAGTATTCCTGTTAAATAATTAAGAGGGATGGCCTTTTAGTATTCCTCTAAGCAAACAAAGTGGATTTTGTAAAATCCCTCTGCAATATTGTATCATCCATCAGGCACAGGAAAACAAAATTCGAATTTACATCATTTTTTATGAATCATCCCTTTATAATTTCAAGTTTTATGCATGTTTTACAATTTATATAATATACTGTACATGTCTATAGAGCCCATACATTTCTTCACTCATGGGCAATGTATACACGGTCCACACAGTTTGAAGACCAATGATGGTGATGTTAATAAACAAATAGAAGATGAATGCAGGTCTTCAGTTTATACTAAAATGTGCAGCCAATAATGATCTAGGTGATTTTTTTTATTTTTCAACCATCTGGGTGCAGAGATGTAGACTGTGGCCGGATTCTCTTAGGTTGTGATGCAACGGAGGTCACTCTCACAGTCCTGGTTCTTATTCTTAACCCCGAAGCAATCCATTGGGGATGAGACCATTCAGATCAAGCCTCTTCTCAATATCAGACAATGTCCTATGCATCCTCAATAGTTTGTCTTTGGTGGGAAAATCAGCAGTTCAGAGTGGTCTCACTCACTTAACACGCCCCCCCCCCCCCACTTCCCATCATTGCTTTGATACAGGAAGAACAGCTGGCTCAAGATGATGTCCTTCTCAGAACACTTTGCATTCCCAAGGAAATTCTTGGTGACCCTTTGGTCACCAAGAGCCCTTTTGCTACCTCCTTGTGAGAGACACTTATGTATACAGGAGGATCAGGGAGGCATCCCTCAAATGATCTCTGCATGAAGGAAACCAGAGCAAGTAGCTAAGAGCACTGCATCTGGAGTCGAGCAGTCTGGGTTCAAACCCCGCCTTCCATTCATCTCTGCTCCTCTGTGCTTTTTCTGTCTATGAAAGCAGTTGCACTGGGTTGTTAGGAGATTCAAATGAAATATTTCAAATGAAATAATATTTCTGGGCACACAGTAAGCGCTATGGAAGTGGTTATTAAACAATGAATAAACACGTGACCACATTTCACTAGAGATTGTACCAATCCAACAGTGTTGTTCTGAATCAGAAGAGTGGCCTGCAATGGATTTTACCCACTTTTTAGTCTACTGTACCACCTCTGATTCTAATGCAGGTGTTTACCAGTCCTCAATATTTTCTGCTCCACGTTTATACTTCTGACAACAAAAACTATGCTGTAACTCCCAATTCCTATCCACCTCCTATTCTGCTATAAGAAATATACTTATAAAGCATAAATCACTGTTCAGATTTCTCTAGAGCATCTCCAATACCTTTAACCCCTGGGACATCACACCAGGGCCTTGACCCTCCTCTTCACATGGCACCTCTCCCATTCCTCCCTCCACTGGATCATTAGACTTAGCATCGGGGATACATTTTTCATGCTCCTCTCTTCTTCTTTTATCATGTCAACTATTCAATCTCATATTTTCATATCTTTACTCATTCTTCCTTCTTGAATACAATAACTTCCACCTCCTCTAATTATTATTTCCTTATTTTTTAAGACAAACCATACATTTTTTCTTTATGCAAAGTTTTCTTTAACACCTCACTTCCTCAAAAATATTTCATTCTTTTCTCCATGTTGATCCCATATCAGATACCACATTGCATCTTATGGATATATGCATGTTTGTTTGTAAATAAGAATACTCTGAGGTCAGAGACTATTGTCTGGTTCACGTCTGATTCACTGTTACAAAATATTTGCAAGACTGATGTATGTATGGAATTTCAAATATATTTGCATGCACACAGCTGAGTTTTTATAATAAGATATTTTTATCATCTCTTACCCCTAGACAATGTATTTTAAGTTGAATTTGTTGTAGGCTTTATGAGTACTTCTTTTCTGTTTTCTCCCAACAGCTATTTATCGGTGTGTGTGTGTGTGTGTGTGTATTCATTCTAACAAAAGTTACTTCATTCTTTATTTTCTTTCATTGTGTCTTCTCAGGACCCAAATGTGAGCTCAAAGTCAGTATTTTGTTTTGCAGACAAGTATCTAGTAATTAGGGGGCATTTTATACATTATTTGAGTGGACAGAGCTTTGACCACATCAGATGTAAGGAGAGAAGTATCATAGCTGTGTTTTTGTCCCTCACATGTTCCCTGGATCATCTTTGATATCACTTTGATGTGTAACAATAATGTATGGATGCACTCTCAGGGAAAACCCTTCTTTCACCCTCACATTGAGACAGAGCATTATTTGTGATGTCCAGCTAGTCCATTACTCTTTGGGGAGAAAATTGGCCCAAATGTACCATACATTAAAAAATCAGCAAATGTGCTCTATTATGTTCACTTGGCTTTGATATTATTTTATACCCTCCTCTTCCCCACACCACCACAGAGAGTCCTGATGTTGGCTCCCAGCCAATATCACATTGTAAGCATGAAAGACTTTTCTCTGTGAAAAATGTAGAAAATTATGTTCTATATTAAGGAAAATATAATTTGCTTTTGCTGAAATATTTTTGTCCTCTAGACATATCCACTTGAGTTATGCTCTAGAATAGATTAATCGACACAATTTAGTGAGTGCCTGCTGTGCACCAGTCTCATAAAGGAGAAAAGCACGTCATTCTCACTCCTGGAAAAAACTTGTTTTTCCTTAAAAGATATCATAACCCTTACAAAATAATTACAGACTAATATAAGGCCATACTGACAGACGGTATAATGGTATGTATTAGCACATGGAATAAAGCAGTTTACAGAAACCATCATCTTTAGACCTCACAGTATCTAAGTATATTTTCATTTACATTATGAAAGATCCTTTTAAAGAAACAGACTCCTGGAGATCCACATGTAAATTTATATTCCAAGAGAAAGCCTGGTATTACTGCCTGAGATTTGGTGCTCATTAAATACCAAGGATAAATATGTCTTTCTATGTATTTATCCATTTATCCAAATTAAGAATGATTCAATAATTATTAAATGAAAATGTAATTGCCAAAGGAGCAATTCCTTTGACTGTTCCTGTTGACTTTTTGGTTCAGCATAACAGCCGGGGATTATTTTCTGTCTCAGAAGAATTTCCTTTTGTATTTCTGACAAATAAGAACCTTACTCACGCTTGCTAGGGGGCGTATTTCTGTTGCTTTGGGTGAACGTTATGCCCTGACATGCTTCAGGAGTGACGGGATTCATAGCCTTCTTCTATGATTACTGAGGTGCTGGTGCAAAGCTATGTAGTGTAAGTTCAGTATCTTCACAGGCTGTTTTTACAATTCCGCGAAACAATCTGAAACAAATCAGTGGACTGACAATCGCGAATCTCGAGTCTTAAGCCTCACACCATTTTAATTAACTGTATTAATTTAGACAGCTCACCTCACATCTTTACCTCATTTCTTTACCTGTACTGTGTATATGTGCATGCATGTGTGTATACGTGTATTGTGAGTGGATGTGTATATGTGTGTAAGTATGTGTGTCTTTGTGTTTGGTGACTAGGAATGATGAAATCATGGAGGTTTGAAAAGATGTTAAGTAGGTATGGTTTCAGATTTAAAATTCCATGACAGACTGAATGCAGGTTAGTGGTCGCCTAGGACTAGGGCAGGAGATGGGGTGATGGGCATAATAGGTTTCCTTTCTGAGTGATGAAATGTTCTAAAATTAATTATAATGATGCCTGCACAACGTTGAATATACTAAAAAACATTGATTTGTGCATCTTAAAGTGTTGAATTATAAGTATGTTTATTGTATCTCAATAAATCTGTTACCAAAATTTTATATTTAGATTATAAGTATTAAACAAAACTCATTATTTTTCAAATATAGTTGATAAACTATACTCTCACTGTCTTCATCTTACGCGGATTTTCTGACATAGTTTCCATTACCTGAGGTTACCTCACTCGAAGTGGTTAACCTTGTCTACACCCATATTAAGTATTAAATTCCAGATTCATCAGAGTGCATTTTCCTTAGCTCTCCAATGCTATTCATCATGTTTTGCTGTGAATAGGCCACAAAATTATATTCTATAAACTAAATATAATTTATTTTGTCTGTTTGTTCTTTTCTTGCCTGAAGACAAAGACAGGGATTTGTTTGCTGCAGGATGGTAATCAGGAGCCTTTCAAAGTCCGGCTGCACCTAGCCAAAGATATTTTGATGATCCAGGAACAAGATGTGATATGTGTGTCTGGTGAGCCTTTCTATTCTGGTGTAAGTAGCTTTTCCTTCTGTTAAAGTTGTTTTTTTTTTTTAAGTTTGTTTTGTTAATAAAAATGTTTATTCCCAGAAAATTTATAATATATTGTCTTTTACCCTCAGAGCCTAGTCAATCCTCTGCATGTTGTCTTTATTTACATTATTAAGTGAGCACTGTCCTCTTTGAAGTACCAAATGTGGGTCCACAGCTAGACGTTAAGACCCATCCCTCCACATTATGGCACCTCAGGGACTCCTGGCTGTTGTAAGGGGACTGCAGGGACACTCATATTATCTGATCTTGAGAAGGTGCGTTCCAGCTTTCACACAGAGTACTGTCTGAGAACAGTGCAGGGCAGTTTTTCTGACCCTGATCTTACATTATTTCCTACCCTGATGGGTGCATCTCATTGAACTTTGGAGGGGGTGCAAAGGTAGAGCCCAATTCTTCACAATGGGAAGCATAAGGCTTTAGGTGGCAGTCACTGGACTCAACGTCAATGCTTTTCCCTGGGGGAATGTACATGAATGATTCTATGAACCTCCCTAAAACGTTTTATACCTAAGGGTCATGGCAAGGTCCCTCTAATGCCGTGGCTGGTTAGCACATTACCTTGCAGCTAATCCAGCCTCAGAAAGAGCCATAAATGATCACTTGAGACCCACTGGTCAGCTAACTGGTGCTGAGGTATAGCTGTGGAAAACATCCTTAAATGAAGTCAGATTATACTTCACAAAACAACTTTAGCATTAAAGAGGACAACTTTTATTAGAGTTTATCATTTATTGTGTAATAACATCAAAGACATTATTTTAACAGTGTTGCCATATATGATCTTGGTAAAAAATTATAGCAAATAACAAACAGTCGGCTTCCTGATTCCCCAGACATCTTTAGCTATTTAGCACAAAGATTTAATTTGTAGCTTATTAACAGACTTACCTTGGAGTGTTTTGCTGGTGGTGAATAATGCTGAACTTGAGTTTCTATCTCGCTTCTCACCAAAATCCTCTGGGAGTCACACCAGGTCCTATAAATCAATAGGCCTTTGCTAACTAAAGATAATGGACATTTTGCAGACTGTTAACTATTCTTTTGTCACAGACCATTTAAATCATCCTGAATCATTGGTCTGGCTGTCAAAACTGATTAAATTGTTCCCATGGGTTGTCCTTTCTTCCTTTTAGTTAATTAAACAATAGCAGTCAATAGTCTCTTCCTTCCTTCCTTCCTTCCTTCCTTCCTTCCTTCCTTCCTTCCTTCCTTCCTTCCTTCCTTCCTTCCTTTCTTTCTTTCTTTCTTTCTTTCTTTCTTTCTTTCTTTCTTTCTTTTTCCTTTTTTCCTTCTTCCTTCCCTCCCTCTCTTCCTTCCTTCCTCCCTCCCTTCTCTCTTCCTTCCTTCCTTCCTTCCTTCTCCCCTTCCCATTCCCTCTCCTTCTCCTTCTCCTCCTCTGTCTCTTTGTCTTTCTCTTTTCAGTGAAGCAATATTATTTGCAACATAACTCTCTGGAATGAATATGTTACACAAGTCCTAGAAGAATAAAATGCTGTACTTGGTAAAATCCAGACTATCAACATTGAAATAATAATATTGATTTTAAGCTATTCAATCAAAATACCTAATATACATAAACCTAATCTCCCTTTTGAAAGGCTATTGGGAAGAACTTGATAGAATGAAGGAGAAATATTCTATGATGATATCAACAAATGCAAAAAAAATTGACAGGATTTGGCAGTCATTTATAAGAAACACTTACAGGAAAGTCTGGAGAGGATGGAACTCTCTTAATCTAATAATCCTCTAATGAACACTCCTTACTAACTTTGTTGTAAACATTAAAGATACTCTCTGAGGTTGTAAGCAAGTCACAGATCATTATTTGCCTCATTTTTATGCAATATTTGGTTGTACAGTAAGTCAGGAAATGGATATAAATGGCATAACAGTTGAAAAAAGGAGCTAAGACAGCATCACTTTAGATGCCAGGATGGTGTATGTAGAAAACTCTAAGAAACATACAAAAATAGAGTAACATACAAATTCATCAAGGTTTCTGGAAATAAGGACTATGTCCAAAGTTAATCATATTTCCATAATTTGCAACAAACAAAATAAAAATGGAATCTACAATATATCAAAAGGATAGTAAACTTAACAAAATATGTACAAAACTACAAAACTGTGATAAATGAAATGAAAATGAACAAGCGAATGGAGAAATGTAACATGATTGTGAGTTAAACACTAAATATTGTTAAATTTTCATATCTTCTTAAACACTCAATATCAATCAAAATCCCCAAAATGTTTTTGTAGACCATGACAAGCTGTTGCTAAGATCTACATGGAAATGCAAGGGTTCCAGTATACCCCAAACAATCTTGAATAAAGAGAGCAAAGTTGGAGTGTTTATATTTTCCAATTTCAAAACTTACTGTAAGATTGCAATAATGAATGCAATGCAATATTGTCACAAGTACAAGTATATGAATCAATGGAACATTATAGAATCCAGAAACAGACCCATGCTTATATGGCCAAATGCTTTTATTTATTGTAGTAAACTACACATAACATAAAATTTATCATTTTAACCATTTTTGAGGGTACAGTTCAGTGGCATTGAGCATATACACATTGCTGTGAACCTATCACTACTATCCATATGGAGAATTTTCATCCTCTCATACTAAAACTCTGTGTCCATTAATTATTTCCCAGTCCCTCTCTCTTCAGCCTCTGGTAACCTTTATTCTATTTCTGTTTCTATGCCTTGACTAATGTAAGTGGAATCACACAATATTCAGCCGTTTGTGCCTGGTTGATTTCATTTAGTATAACGTCTTCAGGGTTCATCCATGTTGTAGCCTGTGTCAGAATTTCCTTCCTAATAAGACTGTGTAATATTCTATTTCATGGATATCGCACATTTTGTTTATCTTGTTTATTCATCTACCCAACAGTGTACATTTGGGTTGCTTCCACCTTTTGGCCTTTGCGAATAATGTAACTATGAACATGGGAACACAAGTATCTGAGTCACTGTTTTTAATTCTTTTGTATATATTCTCAGAAGTAGAATTGCTGGATGAGATGGAAATTCTGTAGCATTTTTTTGTTCAATCTCTTAGCAGGCACGTAATTTGCAAATATTCTCTCCCCACCTGTGGGCTGCTTTTTACTCTGTTGTTTCCTTTGATGCATAGTTCTTAATTTTGATGAAGTTTATCTATTTTTCTTTTCTTGGCTGTACATTTGGTGTGATAGCTATGAAATCATTGCCAGATCCAATGTGGTGAATATTTTCACCTACATGTTCTTCTAAGAGTTCCTATTTCAATTCTAATGTGTACATCATGTACATTGATTTATTTTGAATTAATTTTTGCATATAATTTTAGTTAAGGGTCCAACTTCATTTTTTTGCAGGTGAGTATCCAGCTTTCCTACACCATTATATCTTAGTACCCTTGTCAAAACTGGTTTGACCATGTATGTAAGGGTTTATTTCAGGGCACTCTATTCTATAGCATTGGTCTACATGTCTGTTTGTATGTAGGCACCATACTCTTTTGATTACCTTAGGTTTGTGGCAAATGTTGAAATCAGGAAGCGTGTACCATCCAGCTTTGTCCCTTGGCAAGAATGTTTTGACTACATAGAGTTCCTTGAGATTCTATATAAATCTTAGGATGGATTTTTCTATTCCCATAAAAATTGACATTGGGGTTTTGATGAGGATAGCATTGACTGAGCAGCTAGCTTTGGATAACAATGACATTTTAACAATATTGAGCCTTCTAACCCATATTACACAGGATATCTTTTCATTTATTTACATCTTTATTTTCTTTCAGTGATGAATTGGGATTTTTAGTGCATATCTTTAACCTTTTTTGGTTAGTTAATTCACCCATTTTATTTTTTTTGATGCTATTGTAAATGGAGTTGTTTTCTTAATTTTCTTTTCATTGTTGAACTGATTTTTGTGTGTTCACTTTGTATACTGTTACTTTGCTGACTTTTTCTTTAGTTCTAATGGGTGTGTGTGTAGTAGTAGTAGTAGTAGTAGTAGTAGAAGGAAAAGTGAAAGTTAACAATTTGTGGAAAATAAAACATTTTTAGGCACCCAATGGTAAAAGGGGAAATCACAAAGGAAAGTAGAACATACATAAAGGTGAGTGAAAATGAAAACTATGATATATCAAAACTTTTGAGTTACAGTGAAAGCAGCCAAGAAGGGAAACTTTAGCTGCAAAATTTAGGTTTTCTGCATGTAAGATCATGTCATCTGTGAGCAGAGATAATTTTACTCTTTTCTTTCCAATTTATATATTTTTTATAATTTTTCCTATTTAATTTCTTTGGCTAAGACCTCTAGTGCTATGTTTAATTGAGATGGTGAAAGTGGGCATCCTGGCTTTGCTTTTGACATTGGAGATAACGTTTTAAGTCCATCACCTCTGAGTCCAGTCTTACCTGTAGGTTTTTCGTATATAGGCTTCATTATATTGAGATACTTTTCTTCAATTCCTAGTTTTTTGAGTGTTGAAAGGGGTTGAATTTTCCAGATTTTTTTTTTGTCTGCATCAATTGATATAATTGTGTGTGTGTGTGTGTGTGTCCTTCATTCTGTTAATATGGTATATTACAATGACTGAATTTGACGTGTTGGATCATTGCATTCCAGGAATAAATCCCACTTAGTCATGATATATAATATTTTTAATATGTTGCTGAATTCAGTTTGCTAGTATTTTGTTGAGGATTTTGCATTAATGCTCATAAGGGTCTGTAACTTTCTTTTCATGTAATCTTTCTGGTTTGGGTACTGAAACCAGAAATACTGGACTCAGACAATGAGTTAGGATGTTTTCCCTCCTCTTCAATTTTTTAAGCAGTTTGAGAAGAATTGGTATTAGTTCTCCTTTAAATGTTTGGTAGACAAGTTTGGCAGTGAAATTATCCTTTGTGGATAGGTTTTTTATTGTGATTTAGTCTCTTTATTAGT